CACATAGCAACAGTTTACTACTATACAAAACACAGAAAATTATTGTCATACTAAGTTAACTAACGTAAAACTTATTGTCATACTAAAACACACAAACCACCACTTCAATGCATACGAAACGTACAAAAACAGCCATTCATCCAACTATAGTGTGTGAGTATCAGGACTAGCCATCCATCCAGCTATAGTATAGGACTAGCCATCCATCCAGCTATAATATAAGGACTAGCCATCCATCCAGCTATAGTGTGTGAGTATTAAGACTAGCCATCCATCCAGCTATGGTGTGAGTATTAGGACTAGCCATCCATTCAGCTGTAGTATTAAGATTAGTCATTCATCCAGCTATAGTGTGTGAATATCAGGACTAGCCATCCATCCAGCTATTGTATTAAGACTAGCCATAAATACAAAAATCATTGTCATACTAACATAAAACTTATTGTCATACTAAGTTAAATAACAAAACTTATTGTCATACTAAAACACACATATCAACAGTTTACTACTATACAAAACAGAAAATTATTGTCATACTAACATAAAACTTATTGTCATACTAAAACACACATAGCAACAGTTTACTACTATAGAAAACACAGAAAATCATTGTCATACTAAATTAACTAACATAAAACTTATTGTCATACTAAATTAAATAACATAAAACTTATTGTCATACTAAAACACACATATCAGCAGTTTAATACTAAACAAAACACAGAAAATCATTGTCATACTAACATAAAACTTATTGTCATACTAAAACACACATATCAACAGTTTACTACTATACAAAACAGAAAATTATTGTCATACTAACATAAAACTTATTGTCATACTAAGTTAAATAACAAAACTTATTGTCATACTAAGTTAAATAACATAAAACTTATTGTCATACTAAAACACACATAGCAACAGTTTACTACCATAGAAAACACAGAAAATCACTGTCATACTAACATAAAACTTATTGTCATACTAGTTAAATAACAAAACTTATTGTCATACTAAGTTAAATAACAA